CGAGCCAGGCCTGCCAGGCCTGCCGTGTGCGGAGTGCTGAGGAGCCAGGCCTGCCGTGTGCCGGGTGCTGAGTCTGCGTTCGGGTTTGTCAGACCAAATACGGATCCCAAGGCACCTAGAGGCAGAGCTGCCCCTCTGGGAGCGCTGAAGGCGGCATGAAGGCAGCAGCTTGGGCTCCCCATCTGCTTCTCCTTCCCTGAGCCACCTCCATGCCCAGGAAGGCTCCCTCCTCGTGGGGGTGGCATGGCTGCCAGCACCCCCAGCTTAGTGTCAGCAACCACAAATGCCGACGCGAGTCTTTGACCCCGATGAGGTGCTGTGCCTGCCACCAAGGACAACGGGAAGGCGAGGACTGCCAGGACAGGGCGGGCTGTTCTCCAAGTGCAGGTGCATCCCGCCTCCTGGGGTGTGCTTTGCCTGGCCTAGTGCCTCGCCTGGAATCCGGTTCACTAGCTGTGCTCTGGTGTCCCCACCTGCTGCTGCCTTTTTATTTATTTATTTTTAGATTTCTTTTTCTTTTCCCTAAGCCAGAGAGACAGGCACCCCCGACAGTCTTCGTATTGCAACCCACTCCCAGCCTCGGCCAGCCTGAGTCGTAGGGATGTGCACATCGCCTACTCTGGGCGGTCTCGGCCAGGAGTCACCCCGCCTTCGCGGCGTCACGGAGAATCGGGTCTTCCCACCGCAGCACCGCTGGCCCCACAGTGCTGCTCCAAGGGACTCACCCCAGCCCCTGGCCTGCAAAGGCATCCTCTCTGCAGACTCCCGGGTCCCTCACGGTTCCCTACGCTGAGCCCAGCCTGGGGAAATTATTGACAGCAAACAGCCTGCAGAACTGCGATTATTTGGGATTTGTTCTTAATTTAATGTGATGCGGGCCCCTTTCTGTTTCTTTAATGCCATTTTGTACTGAGGTAGTTCAAAGTTCTTTACAAACAGCTAGTAATTAATTCAACTTCATTAAGGCCAATTAATCCAGGATTAATTATAAATGTACCCAGAGGAAGTTATTATACTTTGCTCTTTGATTTGAGGCTCGGCTTATAAAGATCCTTCAGGAGTGAAATGGAAATTCCCCTCTTCTCTGAGGGCGTCTGCCTTGTCAGCGATTGTCACCATGCACTTTCCTCAACAGGCCCCACAGGGACTTCAGAGTAGGCTGTCACCAGGCCAGGGCCAGCCACAGGACACTCCCAGCACTAAGCAAACCTGCTCAGACCCCATTTAGCTGGAGGCTGAGGAGACCTGATGAGCTGGCCCCGGGGTTCAAACCCTGGTCTCACCTTGTACTGGCTTTGTGACATCAGCGCTCTCCCCGGTGGAATCGACCTGGTAATGCCTCACAGGGCGGATACAGCCGTGGTGGCCAGCCTCTACTCTTCTGTACGGCCCCGCGATCTTCAGCAGTAGCAAGCTAACGTCAACATTGGCTCTGAGGGTTGTATCCACTTTCGTATCAATTAGCCAAATGAACGGCTCTGTGCTCGTCTGTTCTGTTGCTAATAACAGAAGTTTCTGGGACCAGCAGTTAGCATAATGGCTACATCACTGAACTCCCACATAGTCAACCACAGTTCGAGTCCTGGACTCGGTGGCTTAAACTCACACCGGGCGCGTGTGCGTGCGTGCCCAAGATCCCGAGAGGAGAATGGAGAAGGGATTGCAGCATGGCCACTCCCCCTGGGGGGTGACTTCTCACTTTCTGTCTTGTCTTTCTGGTGAGCGCACGCGCCCTATAGGAAAAACCTCTCCAAAAAAAGGAAAAAGGAAACAGAAGTTTCTGAGTCTGACTGACTCAGCAGGACAGAAGTTTTATTGGCTCACAGGTTTGGAGGCTGAGAAGTCCGAGAGCTGGTGACAGCCATGTCCTCTCTTTGATTTATGATTTTAATAATTTGATGTTTTTTTCTTAGCCAATCCAGCTAAAGGAGTGTCAATTTGGTAATCTTTTTTTTTTTGAGAATTTTTTGCTATAGGGCACGTGCACTCACCAGAAAGACAGAGAGAGAGACAGAGACAAAGCAAGAAATCACCCCCCAGGGGGGATGGCCACGCCGCAATCCCTTCTCCTCCATTCTCCTCTCGGGATCTTGGGCATGCATGGACAAGCGCTCAGCATGAGTTTAAGCTGCCGGGTCTGGGACTTGAACTGCGGTTGACAACATGGGTCTCCAGCGACGTAACCATTATGCCATCTGCTGGCCCCTCAATTTGGTAATCTTTTCAAAGAACGAACCTTTGATTTTATTTACTTTCTCTATTTTTTATTTTGTTTATTCCATTCTAATCTTTTTTCCCCAATCATGGGAAGATACATAACATATGCTATTCTAACCATTTTAATTGTACGGTGTGAAAAGGCAGTAGGTGAACTGACAGTGTGCTTAATCAGAGATTTTTCTCTTCTTTTACTATAGGTGTTGACAGCTATAATTTTTTTCTCTTAATACTGATTTATGCTGGGCTAATGTATGGTCTGGTGTTTAAGGAAACCAGATCCCACATGGCTGACGGCGTTGTGGTTCAAATCGTGGACCTGGCATCTTGAAAACACACCAGGCATGCGTATGTGCATGCCCAAAATCCCCAAAGAAGGGAGCAGTGGAGAAGAGTGAGGCACGACTATGCCCGTGGAGGGTGCTTTCTCTTTTCTTTCTTTCCTTGTCTGTCTCCAGCAAGCACATATGCCCTCTAGCAAAAAAAAAAAAAAAAAAGATTGGAGTTGGCAGATAGAAAACCTGCGCATGTTTATATGCTGTGGGGAGTACTCTGGAAGAGCAGATGGAAACACAAGGGAATGAGGCAGTGGGTGGAGTGAGGCCTCCGAGAGACGGCGTGGGGGTCTAGACTTACCTGAACCCTGTTAGTAGGAGAGTCAGGGTAGAGAATCCAGCAGCACCTGGCACAAAGCAGAAGCTTAGGATAGACGAGGAGCTGCCTCCCAGTCCACCTTCTCTCCATTTTACAGAAGACGTGAAGTTTTAGCTGTGCACCGAGACTGCGTCTCCTAGCCTCCCTAGGGGCTAGCTGTAGCCACTGATTGGGCCCAACACTGAGACATGAGTGGCTAAGATTACAGGTACACACCCTCCCCTCCCCTTCCTTGTTCTTGCTGGCAAATGCAGCCATCCTGTACTTTGGGTAGAAGGCAGAGGTGGCAGACAATAGGTTGGAAGAGGCCCAGGTCCTCGACGACTGGAAAACCAGCCTGTCTGCTGCCCATGTGCTTGGACTCACTGTGAGAAAAAGTTACGTCTGTCAACTCAGAGCCAAGGCAAAGTCAGTAAAGCAAAGGAGGTTTTTTTTTTTTTTTTTTTTTAACTGTTAGGACAGTTGCCTGGACGCCACAAAATCCAGCTGGTCCCAGGTAATAGGTGCCAACATGTTACAGAGTTCAGGATGATTTGAAAGGCAGAAATCATGGTCAGGAGGGGAAGTAGCAAGGACTGGCTAAATTATGGCAAGGGCAGTGGGATTATTTTTGCCATAGGGCATGTGTGCTTGCCAGAGAGAGACAGAGACTAGAACGAGTGAAGTCGCCCCCGAGGGGAATGGCCGCAGCACAATCCTCTCCTCCATTCTCTTCTCAGAATCTTGGGCACACACACACACATTTCCGGTGTGAGTTTCAAGACTCCAGGTCCAGGACTCGAACCGCATGCAGCAGGCCATCTGCTGGTCCTGAATCTTAAGGCAAACATGCAGACAGTGAGTCTGGAAGAGGAAAGACGTGTGGATGTGGCGATAAGGACGCTGTTTGAAACAAACCTAGTGAGTTTAGGCAGCGTCTTTAGCTGCTTCAGGAGCATGTGCCAAAGCCTCGAGGCGGCTCAGGCTTACTCCCTCACAGCACGCGGACTGTGATCTCGTTTTCACGGGGAAACCTGCTCTATCCCCCAGCCTAGCAGCTTCCGTAAAATTTCAGTTTGATGACCAGGTGCTGTATTTCGGCATGACCGGCTCCACTCTGGTCTGATCTGTTGCTACTAAGAGAAGCTTAGAACAAAATGGTGTCCTCCCATCATATTTTTTAAGTTTGAAAATTTTTTTACTTACTTCTCCCATGAGAACAGCAGAGAGCCAACGCGAAAGCGCATCCCCATAGTCTGGATGGCAGAAACCCAGCCCCTGCCTGCAGCCGGGCCCAGACAGGCCGAGCCCGTGCCCGCACTCGGGGAGGTCCTTAGACTCGGCCAGCCAGGCGCCGTCCCATGCTCACTGCCTCGTGGAGCTTGTGTCGCGGCCTGCCACACCTGCCCCATCACAGCACTTCCATCTTGTTCCACCTTCTGGTCTTTCGCACGCCTCTGTCGGAGCCCATCCCCGGGCAGTCAGGGGCTCCCCCGAGGATGGCTCGTCTACACAGCAGCCCTCTGAGGCAGTGGAGAAGCAAAGGGGGCTGGACCCGGGCATGCGGGTTCAAAGGTCAGGAGTGACCTGTCAAGAAAGGGAGGGAGCAGAAGGGACGGGACCCAGTGACGACGCGATGGAGCTCGGCTGCAGACGAGCGGGGTGCAGGGGTGCAGGCGGCCCCTCGGGGCCTGGGCGGCCTCGGCCCGCCTTGTGGCCTGCGTCGCAGGCGCTGCTCTCAGCAACTGGACAACCTGCTCACCGGCTGGGCCGGGCCGGGCCGGGCCGGGCGGCC